GTCTAACACCATCTGTTACGCTCAATTAAAATGCAATCCTGATAGGAGGATGGGGCTCTGTGCCTGATATGAACAGATTCTGGAAGTGTGCTGACCAAGATGGAAATCAGGCCTCGCTAGCAGCAGTCTGGGGTGGAGTTCTCTGGTTACACCCGATTAGGGAGGCAGAAACGTGGCTCAGGTTATCTCTACCCCACCAGGGCAGGCCTCCCATTCCTGTCCCAGAAGGCTTTTCTTACCCAGGTGCAGGTGATAACAGGATAAATAGCCTTCCTTGGAGTCACTCCAAGGGTTGTCTTGCTCTGGAACAGCTCCCTTCCTCATTAGGGAAAATCAGGATCAAGTCTAAAGGCCCAGAGACCATAACTGACCAGGGAAGAGGGGCACGGGCCGCTGGAAGGGCTCTTGCTAATCAGTACGGAGTGATGCAGAGTGAATGAAACGGAACTCACAGAACAAGATCCACAGCCCCCACAGTCCAATGAAAGTGATGATCAACCCTGATTCCAGAGGACTACCAGGGCAGAATGCTGCATACTGTATCAGTCACGGGCAGTGTGTCAGCATGTTTTCCTTAAGTGTTTATCTTTGCTACAAGGGAGGGAGGGTGTGTGTGTGTGTGTGTGTGTGTGTGTGTGTGTGTGTGTAAGAGAACGTGAGATGGACAGAAAGAGATATAGAGAGACTGCAGAGAGAGGGGAGAGAGATGGAGAGACACAGACACAGAGGGAGAAGGGAGAGAAGGAAGAGAAGGAGGGAGGCAGGGAGGGAGGGGAGAGAGAGAGAGAGAGAGAGAGACAGAGAGAGAGAGAGAGAGAGAGAGAGAGAGAGAGAGAGAGAGAGAGAGAGAGAGAGAAAAACAAGCTTCCCTGGATGAACTCAAGTCACCAGGAGCAGATGAAGTACATCCCCGAGTCCTGAAAGAACTGGCATGGTGGCCTAACTGAGCCACTGTCAGGGACCTTTCAAGATTAAAGAGAAAGGGACAAGTCCTGACTTTCAAACAGAGACCAATGACCCTGACCTCCATTCCTGGCAAAATTCTAAACTATATTCTTAAAGTGACGGGAGTAAACACTGAGAAAGGGGACCAGTACCCACTAAGATCCAGCATGGCATCACGAAGACTGGGCCATCCCAGACAAACATCATTTCCTTTTCTGACAGGGTTACTAGGTCAGGGAAATGCTCTATACACAGTTGACCTAGATTTCATCGAACTGTCTGACAGAGTCTCTCATGTTATTCTTGTGGCAAACACGGAGGGCTGGGAGCTAGATAATACACTCAGGTGGATTTGGACCTGGTTAAATGGCCCGAGCCTAAGAGGAATCGTTAATGGCTTTATGTTAGCGTGGCAGGAGGTCTCCAGTGAAGTGCCCAGGGGAACTGTGCTATTTCACATTTTTAGCGATGATCTGGATGATGGCATGAATTCTGTTGGATTCACAGGTGACAGTGTTGGGAGGGACAGCTAACATCCTGGAAGACAGAGCTGGGATCTAAAAAGCTCTTGAGCTAAAGCACTGGGCCAAATCCGATGGGATGAAACTAACAACAGATAAATGTACAAGTCTTCTGATTTGGTTAAAAAAATTAACTTCCCAAGTTCAAGATGGAGAGGCCTGGTTAGCCATTCATCTGTAAAAAATCCTAGGGGTTTTAGTGGCCTCAGTATAAGTCAACAACATGATATGGCTTTATGAAAAATAGAATGTGAAGTTAGATGGCAATAGGAGAGGGTCCAGGAAGGGGAAGGTCCCACAGGACTCCACCCTGGTCAGGTCACATACTTCTGGAGGGTTGGGTTCTGGGGGCTGTGCTTTGGAAAGGATACTTTTAAGCTAGAGAGAGGATTCAGTGAAGACAGCCAGGATGGGAAGGGCTCATCTTTTTCATGCCAGAAGAGGAGAGGCTGAAGGAACAGGGAACATGCAGCCTGGAGAAGAGGAGCCTTACTTAGGAAGTTCATGGCAGCTGCTTCGGGTATCCGAAGAGCTAGCTCATGGAAAAGGGATCGCAATTGTTCTGCTTGGCATTAGAGGGCAGAAACGGTAGCTGTGGGTGGGAGTTCTGGAGGGACAAAATGAGGGTTGATGTCAGGAAAAACTTGCTTACAATTGGAATGGCAAATGTGGAATGGATGGGCTGCCCTAGGGGTAAATGGGTTCTCTCTCCCTGGAGGTCTTCCAGCCAAGGCTATCGTTAGGGATGGGGCAGAGAGAACTCTTGTTCAGGTACAGGCTGGACCAGATGATCTTGGACGTGCCTTCTGCAGGATTATGCAAAGCGGGAGCAGCTAGGTGGTACAGTGGAAAGAGCACCAGTCAGGAGGACCTGAGTTCAAATCCAGCCTCAGACACTTGATACTTACTAGCTGTGTGACCCAGGGCAAGTCACTTAACTCCAACTGCCTCCAAAAAAAGTTTTCAAAAATGGGGGAAAAGACTATGTGAAATGGAGAAATCGAGGGAGGAGGGGCCAATCATTCCCTTGGCAAAAGGATTTTTTTTTTAACTTTGCTAACTTGCACTGGTGGAAGGAGTTTCCTTTACTGATGAAATCATAGGTCCAGCCCCTGCTGCTGCTGTATTATAGTGAAGAGTGCTGGGCCAGAGTTGGAGTCAGGAAACATGGGTTTGAATCCTGACTCTGACATTTCCTAGCCTCGGGACTCTAGGCAAGTCATTTGATTCTATGAGCCTAATGAGGATGATAAAAATCAAAGCTAACATTTATGTTGTACTTTAAGTTTACAAGATATTTTGTTATCCTCACAACAACCCTGTTACGCCCATTTTACAGATGAGGAAACTGAGGCTGAGAGCAGTTAAGTACCTTGCTCAGGGACCCCCAGCTCGGAAATAACTGAGGCAGGATTCAAACACAGGTCTTCCTGACTCCAAGGCCAGGGCTCTATCCACTGCACCACTAAGCTGCCTCAGTTTCATCACCCAAAAATGGGAGTCTTAATATTTGTGCTGTCTAGTTCATGTGATTTCAGTGAGGAAAATGCTTTTTAAAACCTAAAAGGAGGGCAGCTAGGTGGTGTGGTGGCTAGAGCACCAGCCCTGGAGTCAGGAGGACCTGTGCACGAATCTGGCCTCAGACACTTACTAGCTGTGTTACCTTGGCAAAGTCACTTAACCCTGATTGCCTTAAAAAAAAAAATTAAAGTTACTGTTGCTGCCGCTGCCTGATCTATGGCAACCACCTCTGAATTCCCTTCCTGCCTCATTTCCCTCTCTAATCCATCTTCCCCCCCCCACTCTGTTCAGGCAGATACTCCTATCGGACAGGTCTAACCATACCTTTGTCCCCCTCAAGAAATTTCAGCTGCTCCTTATCACTACTAGGATACAAACATTTCTGGCCTCATGTGATGGACAGGTTTATTTCCAGGTGCTAAAAAACCAAAGGACCATTCCGGGCACAGGGGTAAAGAAGCCTGAGCATGCTGACATTCCCCTCAAAGTGATACGCCCTGAATGCAAGCCCCCTGGCCATACCTCCATGCTTCCGGGGCCAGAGTGAGCCCTATTCCAGGCGCTAATGTGTCAGTCACACGCTGGGGGTGGAAAGTGTCCTGCAACACCCTGGACCCTGCCAAGTGCTGGCCACCTGCACCAGCACCCGAGCTGACCCCGAAGAGGCCTGCCTCAGCCCTGCCTGGGGGGAAGTACAGGCTAAGCCTTAGGAGCAGCAAGGGACTGACAGGATGGCAGAGGATTGAAAGAAAGTAGAATGATGTAATAACCCATCAGCCTCTCCAAGAATGAAGGAGAAAACACTTCTCACCTCTCAGCTGGGGAGGAATGGGGGAGGACTACAGATGCAAGATATATATTATATAAGTCATCACAAAGCTGCTGTGCTGATCAATTTTGCTTAACATTCCTTTTTTTTAATGTTTCATTGATGCTCTTTTAAAAATTCATCATATTTATTTCCCACCAACTCTCCCCATTTTCAGTAGCACTCAGAGGATCACAGAGCTGGGGTGGGGGCCCATCGGGGGCCATAGACACTAGGCCCCTAAATCTTACTGCTAAGGAAGCAGGCCTAGGGAGCTGAAATGACTTGTCCAGATCCCAAGGCTACTGATTGTCTGAGGTGAGATCTGAGCCAGGGTCTTCCTGGTCCCTCGTAGACATCATCTCATGTAACCTGCTCATTTTACCGAGTAGCAATCTGTGGTCCAGAAAGGACCTGCATGAAGTCCCATGACTAGGAAGCATCTGAGACAGGATTTGAGCCCATCTTCCTGACTCCCCCATCACAGCTGTGAGTTAGATGCAACCTAGGAAACCATCTTGTCTAACCCCTTCACTTTACATATAAGGAAACTGAGGCCCAGGGGGATTGTGAATGCCTTGCTCTACCTGGGATTCAAATCCTAGGCCTTTGATTCCCTGTCCAGCACTCTGCAGACCATCACTCTTTCACGACACCCTAAGTATATTCAAGCGAAAGCAATCACCTCATTGGCCATGCCTGATAATGCATGCCCTGTTCCACACCAGTAGGCTACCACCTCCTTTTGGAGAAGGTGGAGACAGCCTCACCATCAGTGCTCTGATGTTCTTCTTTATTAAAACGGAGCTTCAGTGGGGGAGGAGAGTGTATGGGGAAATATCTATGGCACAAAGATCAAAGCCTGTTGATAAAACTTTTGGGGAATAAAACACTCAAAAGATCCCGAAAAAAACCCAGGTCTTCATCTAAGATAGAAAAGAAAAGAAGAAAAGTGATTGGAAACAATCTGGGGAATTGAAGTCCTGGGTTCTAGTACTTCGTGTGTGCCATGAACTCAGAGCAATGCTGGACAAGTCATTCCATCCACATTTCCTCAGTTTTCTCACCTGTAAAACGGGGAGACTAGTCCCCGCCCTCATCGGCTCATGACATCCCAGCATCCCAGCAGAGTGATGCCTCTCTGAGCAGGCTCCCCCGCCCGCCCACCGCCCAGCCGGCTTCCATCCCGGACCGCCGCCGCTCACCTCGCTCGCCTCCTCTCCGTTCTGGCTGGGCTCCCCCTTCAGCTTCTCCCGAAGCTTCCCGATCTCGGCCCGCATGCTGCCCATCTCCTGCTCCTGGGTCTGCAGGCAGGCCTCCAGCTCCACCTTCTGCTCGATCAGGGCCTTGCCCTGAGCCTCCACCACGGTGATGCGGTGCCGAAGATCATGGTTGATCTTCATCAGTCGGCTCTGCTGCTGCTGTAGCTGTGGCGGGGTGGAAATGCGAGGGGAGGCCGTCGGGAGCCAGGCCGGCACCATCTGCTACGTGGCAGAAAGCTCTGGCCCTGGCTCAGCCATACGCCCCAGACCGGACGCACCTGGACCCTGCTCTTCCGCTCTCTCCTCTTCAGAAAAGAAAAAATCAACTGAGCACCTACTGTGTGCAGCTATGTGGCGCAGTGGACAGAGCACCAGGCCTGGAGTCAGGAGTGCTTTTGTTGTTCGGTTGTGTCCAACTCTTCATGACCCCATCTGGGGTTTTCTTGGCAGAGATCCTGGAGTGGTTTGCCATTTCCTTCTCCAGCTCATTTTACAGAGGAGGAAACTGAGGCACACAGGGTGAAGTGACTTGTCCAGGGTCACACAGCTAGTCAGTGTCTGAGGCTGGATTTGAACTCAGGTCTTCCTGCCTCCAGCGCTGGTGCTGTATTATTGCACCACCTAGCTGAAGACCTGAGTTCAGATCCAGCCTCAGACACTCATTAGCTACGTGACCTTGGGCAAGTCACTTCACCCTGTGTGCCTCAGTCTCCTCCTCTGTAAAATGAGCTGGAGAAGGAAATGGCAAACCCCTCCAGGATCTCTGCCAAAAAAACCCACCAAAACCCAAATGGGGTCACGAAGAGTTGGACAGAACCGAATAACAAATGGAGAACAACAATAACAACCGTGTGCTAGGTGCTGAGGGCACAAGGACAAATAGTAGATAACCAACACATAAGCCTTTGTGAAGCTCTATGTTTCAGGCACTATGCCAGAAACCTCAGATACAAAGACAGAAATCAGCCAGCAGGTATTCAGTAAGCATCTACTAGGGATACAAGGAACACAAATCAAACACCACGTGGTAGCCTCCTGCTTGGCACTATGGATACAGAAACCAGGCGGTCAATCAGCAAGCATTTATAAAGCACCTACTACGGGGCGGGCACCAGGAACACAAAGACAAGATCAGCCAGCAAACGTTTATGATAGGCCTACTATGTGCCAGGCCCCGTCCTAGACACCGGTGGTACAAAAACTCAACCAAAAGAAGCCCTGCCTTTAAGGGACTTACGCTCCACCCAGGTAGACAACACGCACATGTCTAGGTAGGTAGAAAGCCAGGTAACTGGGGGCAATCCAGGGGCCCAGGAAAGGCCCGCGGGGGTCTGGCGCCCTGCTGCCCTTCACTGAAGACCGGCTAACTCTGTGCTCTATTTTCCCATTGCGCCTTGGGCACGGCGGGGTCTCTGCCCCCTCAGGAGGCCAAGCAAGGCGGCGCTGGGGTGCCCAGATGTGGGCACAGAGGGTGGGGGGCCTCAGGGATGCCTTCCCAGGCGCATTTCCCCCCCACAGCCCCGCCTCACCTCCCGGATCGAGGGCACCTCGCTACTCACCGCCTCCACATCCTCGTTCTTCAGGCCGAGCTCGCGGTCCTTCGCTCGGATCTCATCCCGCTGCTTGTCCACCACCTCCTTCAGCTTCTTCATCACTTGCCGCTCCCGCTCAGACATGCCTGGTACGGGAAGGATAAAGCCAACGGCACCGTCGCTGATGGTGGCAGGGACCAGCCTGGGCTTGGTGTCTCATTTCTCTGGCGTACCCACCCTCTCCCCGACACCGCCCCCATCCTGGTGTGGACCCTCATGGCCTCACGCCCGGACAGTCACAAGTGGTGGGGGGGGTCCGCCGCCAACCCACCCTGCATTCAGCCGCCAAAGTCATTTTCCTTAAGTGCAAATCTGACTCCAATGGCTCCCCAGTGCCGAATGAGTCAGGGCTTTAAAAGTCCTCCAGCATCCGCCCTTTCCTACCTGAAACCTCGCAGCCCATGCACTCGGTGATCCAGTGACCGCGGCCTCAGATAACAAATTCCATCTCCCCACTCCAGGTATTTCCACCTCTCTGGCCTTCTCCCGTCCCTGCCCTCCTCATCTCTACCTCCTGGCTTCCTTCAAATCCTAGTTAAAATCCCACCTTCTGCAGGCCGCCCTTCCTGATGTCCCTTAATTCGAGTCCCTTCCCTCTGCTGATTATCTCCAATCTCTCCCAACTACTTCTCGTTTGAACGTGCGGCGTCTCCTCCGTTAGACTGGAAGCTCCTTGAGGGCAGGGACTGTCCTTTCCCTGTAGCCCCAGCACTTGGCATAATGCCTGGTACACAGTAAATGCTTCATAAATGCTAGTTAACTAAATGTTTAATAAATGCTAATTAACTAAATGCTAACTGGCCGAATGACTGACTGGACTCATTTTTACCCTGGCATATCCCATTTTTTCCCCACCTCTATGTTTTTTGCTCATCTGCCTGGAATGACTTGCAGCCTACAGACACCTACTGGAATCTTTTAAAGAACTCAGACTCCTCCTACTCCCTTCTTGAAGCCTTCTCACCAAATGATTGGGATTCTTCCCTCCTCTAAGCCCCCACCAGCCTCTGGCTCCCTCTTCCAACACAAATTATCTTGCCTTCTAGTTGGCGCAGTGCCTGGAGTCAGGAAGACTCATCTTCAGGAGTTCAAATCTAGCTTCAGACACTTCCTAGCTGTGTGACCCTGGACAAGTCACTTAACCCTGTCTGCCTCAGTTTCCTCATCTGTAAAATGAGCTGGAGACGGAAACAGCAAACAACTCCAGTATTTTTGCCAAGAAAATCCCAAAATGGGGTCACAGAGAGTCGGACCTGACTGAAATGACCCAACAATGATGACATCAGTGGAGGGAGCATACATACTGTAACTTCCCTTCACTGATGAAAAAAAGAGACAAATGTGGCGGATCAAAACAACAGTCACTAATTAAAGCCCCTTGAATTGAACTGAGTTATAATCAGAAGTGCCAACTGGAAGCTTGATGCAGGACCTCTTACCTCCCAATGGCAGACATGAAGAGGACTGGATCGATCCCCAGAGGAAACTGGCCTTTTCTCCTTCCTGTATCTAGGGGGATGCTGCCCTCTGAGAAGCATGCCCCCTTAAAGAATCTAGAAGTCTAGAGATTCAGGGGAGACCCACGTCCTGACACACAACCAGTGTGAAGAGGGGAGCAAATCTCGAATGAGAAATCCGCCCATGTCATTCCTTTGTTCAAGAAGCCTCAGTGACTCCCCACTCCCTTCACGATAATATACAAATGTCTTTGGAGTTTGCTGTTCAGTCATTTCAATCATGTCTGACTCTCTGTGACCCCACTTTGGGATTTTCTTGCCAAAGACACTGGAGTGGTTTGCCATTTCCTTCTCCAGCTCATTTTGCAAATCGAGGAAACTGACAAGGTGAAGTGACTTGCCCAGGATCACACAGCTAGTAAATGTCTGAGGCTGGATTTGAATTCGGCTCCTCCTGACTGCAGGCTCAGCGCTTTATCCACTGCACCACTTAGCTGCCCTATATTTAAAGCCCTTCAGAATCTAGCCACAGCCTCTCTTTCCAGGAAGATCACAGGTAATTTCCCGTCAGGAACACCATGCCCTAGCCAAACTGAACCACTCAGTGTTCCTTCTCTACTCCTTTGTATGAGGCCTGGAATTCCCTGCCTCTAGGAACCAACCCCCGATGCCCTTCAAGAATCAGCTCAAGCTTCACCCCCTTCTAGAGGCTTTTTTAGATTTCCTTTTTATTAGTGCCACCCCAAGCACAATCACCATATGATCCAAACAGAGCTTTATCCCTGAACACTTATCCTATTATCCCATTAGAATGTAAGCTGCTTGAGGGAAGACTGTTTGGCTTTTGTATTGGCATCTTCCACACCTGGCACAGTCCTGGCACATAATATAACAGCTGGTCCTTAATCCTCGTTGACAAATTAAAAGAAACAAGAAAGATAAGAGCTCAGATTCCCAGGACTCCAGCTTTTCCTTCAACTGGGGATTCGTGGCCAATTCATCAAACCTTCATTAATCACCTCATGTATACAGAGCATTGTGCTCAGGACAAAGTTTAGCCAAGATATAGTCCCTGACCTCCAGTCCCCATGGAACTTAAAGTCTTGTAGGATGCTAGGATACATGTTCAGATAACCATATATAAAGCTGTTTGCTGCTAACCACACACCACTTTGTAAAGGGAGAAATATGGCTAGGTAGAAGGAAGACAGTGACCTTCCCTGATGAGCATAGCTTTGGTGCTTCATCAGATTTATCTGCAAAGCAGTCCCAAAGGAAGTTTCTTTTGGAGAGGAAATGCCCTTTATTTTGAGGACAAGCAGTCCTTATGGGAGAAGTTACTATGCCCCCTTTTCTGCTAATTTGACTAAAAGAGGGTAATGAAAAGCCTCTGGGTTTAAAACTGAAAGAGTGAAGGACTGAGAGCCCTTCAGCTGGAGGAAGAAGCTGGGAGATGAGAGATGGTCCACAGCCTCATGCCCAATGGAGCTGCACCTGATAATGACTAGCAGTGACCACAGGATCATCATAGCACCGTCAAGCAGGAGCCATACCAAGCAAAGACACACCCATGAGAGATTGTGGGCCACGCAGGACCAGTGGGATGTCATCCCTAGTAGAAGACACTGGCACTGCTGTAACACCAGAGGTATAAATCGTCCTGCCGTACATGTGCCTTGGCTACCTGTCTTCCTTCCAGGTGTGTTCCCTATGTATTTCCCACTCCTCTCACTGATGGCATGTGTATTTTTAGGAGACTGTGACCCATTTTTATGGAGAAAATGTTTTATTGCTACTTCAATTACTCTATTATTTAATTAAATCCCTTTTATTTTGAACTAATTGTATCCTTTGGCTGACTAGCAAAAGTAAACACATTGATGGGGGCTCCTGTTATGAACAGCTGTGCCTCGCAGCTAGTTAAGATAGTCTTTTTGTGTGTAGAGATGCCCCCAGTTAACACATTTAATTAAAACAATACACAAGGAGCAGCTAGGTGGTGCAATAGATAGAGCACTGGCCCTGGATTCAGGAGGACCTGAGTTCAAATCTGGCTGCAGACACATAACACTTACTAGCTGTGTGACCCTGGGCAAGTCTTACTTAACCCCATTGCCTAGCAAAAACAAAAACAAAAAACAACCCAAAAAAACCCAATACACAGAATGTACTTAAGCAAAAATCATAAGCAAAGTGCTAAGTTCCTGACACACAGCAGGTACTTAATAAATATTTACTGATTTATTACTGACTTGGAGGGGAGGGGTATATAGAAAGCAGCCTCGTATGGTACAAAATGGGGCAGACTGGGTGTCAGAGGTCCTGGATTCAAATCCTCACCGTGCCACTACTTGTGTGATGTTGGGCAAATCATTCAACTGCTCCAGGTCTCAGTTTCCTCATCTGTAAAATGAGGCTCCTTCTACCTCTCACTGAGCTTCAGGAAGGTTTCTTGGAAGAGCTGTCTGACTGCGGCAGACAGAAAGGGGATCCCATCTCCTGAGAAGCACTCTAGGGAGGCAAGCTGTTTCTTGCATTCTGATGACTGAGAACAGGTGGTCTCACCTGCACACATGAATGAGGGGGCCGCGCAGGGGCCTCCAGTGTGCTTCAGAACTCAAGAGCAGCTTCCACCTTTGCCATAGGTGAGCCTATTTTCTGTTTGTTTTTCTTAAGTGCATAATAATAAGCTTATTAAATGGGAGAGTGCCACTTTCAGCTCATAAAGTGGGTTATTCTCAAGAGACGTGGGCTCTTCTCTCCTCTCTTCCTGCCAAAGCAGCTTGTTTCTCGAAGCCTTGCCTTCCTTGGAGGAACAGCTCAGCCAGATTGCTTTTTTTTGAACTGGATGGAGAGGACTTGCTTCCTTCCAGAGCCTGACCTTTTGGGGTCCCCCTCCCCTGCTCAGAGGCCCCTTGAGGAGCTCAGTTCCAAGCACAAACAATGAACAAGGATGCTGGGAATCGGAGACACGAGGCTCTCAGGCACACTGGGCTGTCTTTCCTTCTTCCAAACAAATGCTTCCTTTTCTAGTGGGTATCACAAGAGAAGGCACAATCAGCCTACCAGGGAACATGATAGCTGTCTGTGTGCCATGTGAATACAGACTTGGGGAGTGCGTGTACGTGTGTGCGTGCGTGTGCGTGTGTGTGTGTGTGTGTGTGTGTGTGTGTGTGTGTGTGTGTGTGTGTATGTATCATATGGGAGGCAATTTTCTTTTTTTAGCTTGCTCCCTGGGAACAATTTGCATCTCAGCTTGTGAAGAAAACCACTGGGGCTGGGAGAAGATAAGCTCCCTGCGGGCAGGCACTCATATACAATATATATGTGTACACACACACACACACACACACACGCACACACGCGTGCCAAAATGCATCAATGGCAGGAGTTTCCAGTCTGGGAGTTCCTCTAATTGATGAAATGACAGGTCTGCACTCTATCCATCTCCCAGCACGACCCCTCAAAAGCACCTAGCATAGTGCCTTGCATACAGCAGGCACTCAATATATGTTTCCTGAATTGAAATGAATTGATTTGAAAGGGGCAGGCATTTCCTAATAGAAAAAAACCTGATCTTTGAGTCAGAAGGCTGTCACTGCTTGTGTGACCCAAGACAAGTGGCGTAG